ACAGCTATATCATTAGATCAACAAGGGAATCTATATGTCGTTGATATCTACGGGTATCAAATAGTGAAGTTTGATGTTGATATTGATTGAAATTATTTTTTATAATCAAATAAATTCTAATGAAACAATTTGCTTTTTTTGTCATTTTTTTCCTTTTTTTTCATCTTATTTTAAAATAAATCATTTTATAATTAAACTTATTTTCTTTTAACATGTCTAGAATCTCTGAAGATATTTTCATCGATATTATTACAATCTTCTATTACAGATCTTATACAATTGAAATACAACGCTTCTACAATCGATACAGATCTAAATATAAATCGTATTTAACTATAATTTATGATGATATTTTATGAGCGTAATTATTATGCCATATGGTGGTAAATGGAATATTTGCAGGTTAAATTATATGATCGTAGCCAACTCTATTGCTATTCAGATTAGATCAGAAAATATTTTCAATAATTGCTTCGATTCAAACTTAAACTGAATTTATTGATTTCTATTCATCACTTAATAGATGAACAAATCCATTTACACATAAATCTATAAATACTTACCTATTATTATTGTTTTCTCATGTATTATTTATCTTAAATAATGTTAAATATGAACAATGCGATATTCTTATTCATATTGTCGAGATGAATTATCTATGAAAAAAAAATTATACACAAACGAATGATAGAGTACTATCACAAATAGAGAATAGTTCATACAAAATTGGTACAAATTTCTTTTATTATTATCCATGAAAGAAAAATAATTCACTTTAATAGAACAAAATGTCTTTGAGTATGAGATAAGGAGTATTTCATTTATCTCTTATGTGTATCTATATTGAAATTCAACTATTAATAACCACAAACCATAATAACAATTCACTTATATTTTGTTTTATATTATTACTTAAGTTTAAAATACTATATAAATGCAATAATGTATAAAAAATATAATATTTTCAGATTATTCGTTTTTCTTGCATTATCACTATGGGTTGAAAATGATCGTGTAAGATCGAAAATTTTCTATTTATATTAAAAAATCTCAAGATAATAATCTTATTTATATATAGACCTATTGATATCACATCCTAGTTTGAACATCAATCAGTAATCTACCCATTATTTTCAGATTAGTTCTTATTTTTGCTAAGATTCATTGTGTTCACTTTGATTGTAAATGTTAATCGATATTAGAATTTCGAATAATCAAGTACTTATAGAATTCATCGAATTCAAATTTATTTGATTTAAAAGAAAAGAATAAAAGTTAATAATATTACCATATGTACATTCGACTATTGATTTAAAGAATATATTTTGTACGTTTGTAATTGAGATTTATGGTGAAATGAGGAGACGTATACAATGTCTATATAGATCGAGAAGATTTGTACATCATGTCTATCTATTAGAAAAAGCGCTCGAGTGGATGACATCTCACGGTACTTCAGATTCAGTAGCAGTATGTGATAAAGAGAAACTAACATGCTTCGCTCAATTCCCAAGCGATATTACTTTGGAAGGTCATGTTGATAAAAAAAAGACGAGAGCTGAAAAAGGAGAACGTAAGGAGAAAGAGATGAATGGTGACTATGAAAAATAAGAGAAAAAACAATAACAGCTTTAAATGAGTAATGCTTCATGCACACATGCTTGATAACCGTGCTTCTCATGTTCTTGCTTGCATTTTCCTTCTCTTCATGTGTGATTCAGACTGAGTATGTCTGTCTACTTGCTTAGTACAATCCGTTGAATCTTTCTCTTGGTGATATTGTAGTGTCATTTTTATTTTTTCTGTTTTCTCTTGCTTTTACAAGCTGCTTCAAGTTTATTAGCTCAACTGTTCTTCTAGGACCGACATGGTCAGACAGTCTTCTCAAGCTAATAAAAAAATTTCTGATGAAATGATAATATAGATGATAAATAGAGAAAAATGTTATTTTTATTTGGAGAAAAAATTTATTTTTTGTACAATAGAAATAAATTCCTGTTTGTATGTTTTTGAAGGTAAAATAAATAATATAATAATAAGTAATGGTGGAATAAATGAAATATAATATCCAGTTAAATATAACCATGGATTACGTATTGATTCCATACATCCAGATAAAAATGAAATAATCAAACGAGGAATCGATAATAATATTAAAGTACATGGTGAAATAAGAAGATGTTTATTTTGTTGAATTTGAGCATAAAGAATTTTTTTATATGCTGATTTTTTCTTTGTTTTTACACGTATTCGAAATACTTGAATTGTAATACATATAGCAGATATTATATTAATTATAAATGGTGTTAAAACATGAAATACATTTATAAATTTGTCATATTTTTTTAAACTTGTTGAATATTCAAGAATACACCATGTTCTTTGTTCATCATCATCATTAAATAATCGACGAGATATTGGATCATGAATATAAGATATACTTATTAATAGTAACATTATTCCTATAACATATTTAGCAATGTATTTACTTTTTGACTTATTAAAATGTATTCCTTGTACAGCAGTTAATGCTCTTTCAATGGCAACAGCTGCATATAACCAATCGCCAAAACTAAGTAGAATTTTTAATAAGACATCAGTTAATATACAACTAAAACTAATAAATGATGCATTTGTTATAGATTTCATTTGAAATATAATCAGTTGAAAATATTTTATTGTAAATACAGTTATTGTTAATATCGATACAATTGAATTTGTTAATAAATAAATCCCACAACCTACTTTAAGTAAAGATTCACTTTTAAACGTTAATATAGATAATACCCCATTAATAATACTAAATATTAACATTAAAATTGTTATTGATGCTGTTATTTTTACTGCTGTGGATTGTTTTGTAAATGAAGTAAATGGTTTAATATGATATCCAAATATAACATCAAGTGATGTACTAAAACCTTTTGTTGTTAATTCACATTTACTTCCATAATAACATTTATCACATTTACATACTAACATTAATGGACAAGTTATATTATCTTGAAAACATTCGCTATGTTTTCCACAATAATTATTACCTTGACAATCATAAGACATATTAAGATCAAATTCAAAACAATTCGAATATCGATTTTTATCACAAACACACATATATGTATCATCATAAAAGCATTTTAATTTGAGATTTTCTATACATGGTAATTGATAATATTTTAATCGACGAAGAGTTTTATAATTAAGTATTGTTGAATTTAAAAATTTACTTATATTTTCACATTTATAATCTTGATTTATATTAGTAGAAATGTTTTCAGATCGAATTGGTTTTTCTCTTATCACAGTAAGATAATAATTTTTTTCAAATTCAATAAATAATAAATTAAATGGAGTTGTATGATACAATACAATTGAATCTCGATCAAATGGAATTTTTTTAAAAGACGTTGTTCGTTCGTGGTCTTTATCACTGAATGCAGTTATAAAATGACCAAAGACTAATGTTGGTATAGGATTTATTTTGAAAGTAATATCAATTTCATTTGATTGATATTCACATTGAGGTCCCATATAACCTTCAGTACATAAACAAATATAATCATTTTTTTTTATTCGATCATCCATCGGTATACATAGACCATGATTTTTACATGGATTATTATTCGGTTGACAATATGTATGTTGCAAATAACATTTTGAACCAAATTTATTTAATGGACATAAACAAATTGATGAATTTAAAGCAGTGGAACCAGATGAACAAGAATGTTGATACATTATATTACAATAACGACCTGAATAACCTTGATCACAAAGACAAAATTCTTTTGTTGAATTAATATATTTAAAACATTTCCCATTTGTTCCACATTGAATTGAACAATTTGTTAATTCTTCAGATTTTTCTGATGGAATACGAAGTTGTGTTGATATGCGATTAACTGGTAAAAATAGAAATGGAATAAATAAATTCCAACTTCCATAATAATTTAATAATGTTGACTTTTCATAAATATCAATACGTATCGAATATGTATGATTGACATTTTTTGGTTGATCAGGATAAAGTAAATAACGATTGTATTTTGTATTACAATCTAGCGATGAAATATAATTTATTTGTTCATAATTATGTATTATTCCATTTTCATCATCAATTAAATAAATGAATATTTCATAAATAGATTGTTTATTCTCATATGAACCTAATGGACGTATTTGAAGTGTTAAACTAATGCGTTGATTTTGCCATTGACATCGATCACCGTAATAATTAGGTGGACATAAACATTTCTTTTCAAATGATTTACCTTCGAATATAACAATTCCACGATTACAATATTCAATTAATTCAATACTAGTATGTATTTTGAGAGATGTTTTTGGCTTAATATTGATAGATTGTTGAGACGATAATGATATCTGATTTATTATTGGTGGAAAATATCCCAAATTCCATGTAGAAAAATAATAAGGATCACGTTCATAGAAATTAACCTGATCTATCATGTAACATAATGTTCCATTATTATACAAATCTATTGAGAATGGAGACTTAACACGAATATTTTCTTTTTCAGTAATATTACATATTAGTTGTTGATCATTAGTTGATGAATTACCACAAATATCATTTTTAGTTAAACAAGTCTTTTCTTTCCATGATATATATTCTTGATTAATATTAAAAGTTAAATTATTCGAATAAAATATATTTCGATATAGATTATCCCTAAAATCATGATTAATACAATCGACTGGTTTTTCGTAAATATATTGTTGTGGAATACAATAATAATTATTAGGAGAATTAATAATTTGACATTTAAATTCATCAATATTACAATTCACATTAGGACAATTCAGTTCATCGATACCATTAGCACAGTGGAAAACATTATCACATCGAGTATACGGAGTATGACAAGGCCACCATTTACAATTGGTTTCATCAGTTTCATTATCTTCTCGTAGTAATTCTGGATAATTATATATATGATTGCAAAGACTTATATATACAAATGTTTCTGACTTGTCAATTTCTTCATCTTCTTTATTTTTGCATCGAGGTAGATCGTAACCAATACTTATAGGTGATAAACATTTTGTTTCTGATGTACAATTAAAACGTTGAGTATCATTTAATGAACAACTAGCATTATAACTTTCATCTTCATTATGATAACAATCTCGAATTCCATCAATGAGACGATGTTTTGATATATATTTATGAGATTTTTCACAATAAAATAAAGATGAATTTGATTCATATTTATTAATATTACCCATTAATGCACAAATCTTAGCATCTTCTGTCAAACGATATGACAAACCTAGATTGGGATATATATATGTAGGAGCTGAACGACAATCTAAACCATTTATACGATCTGTTGCATTTGGTAAATGTAAGCATAATCGTGGGTTATTACAGATGTATGATGGCCATCCATCACCATTGTCACTTTTGATCAAAAGTTGTTTTGAATAAAGAGGTTGGAAATAACCATTGAAGATAGGTTCAAGAGGAAATGGAATATATTTTAATGTACAATTTTTTGATGATAAATTTCCACTTGAACAGTCTGTTATATTGTATGTATCATTTTTGAAAATGTCATAAAAACCGAGTTTACAAAATAATAAAAGATAACAATCATTCATATATTGTTTGGCTGATTTATAAATTATTTGTCTGTAGTAGGAAGTACGGCCTGTACTTTTACATTCACCTGGCGTATTACCAACAAGATTTAAATAAGGATAAATCGGCGAACAACTTCCATCGCCACATGAAAATGCATGTGGTTGACGACATGTTCTCTCTTCGCAAGCGAATAATATTGAATCGATGCATTTAGAAAATTGCTCAGTATCGTGATTCCAAAGTCCCTCCTGACGAAAAACTTCAGCTTCATCTGTTCCATCCAAGCAGTCTTTACTTGTTTGACCATCACGAAAGAATTCGAGTGGAATACATTGTGCTCCGTTATGACATCGATATTCGTCTTCTTTACATTCATTTATTTCAAGTTCATTACAATATTCTTCATCGATACCAAATTTATCTCCAATACAATCAATTTTTCTATCACATATTTCACGCCAGTCTAAACACATCGGTTTAGGACCACGATAACATCCAGATAAATGAGGATAACAAGTATGGATCAAAATTTTTCCTTCATATTGTTTACGAGCTTTAAATGAAGAATTTACGAAATCCCCAAACGATTCGATAGGCATACTAAAATTAAATGTATATTCACAATTCGACCCAAACCATAATGATGAACAATTATTAAAAATAAATTCATCGAATCCGGTCTTATTTTTAATGAGATATATCGAATATTGTTCAATTATATCAATTGATGTTGACCATTGAAGAAGATCTTCACTCGTAATTCCTTGTAAACGTAAATTTTTAAATGTGTCTGTATTTTCTATATATCCTTGCACTTTGTTAATAGAATCAGTTGATGATGGACGTCGACAATAAGGTGTTAAATAATTTGTTCGAAACAAAAGTCTATCATCTGGATCACGATCATCAACTATATAAGCATAGAAACAATCGAAAATTGTTTTTGAATTATCATTTGTGTTGTAAATAAGTGATGCATCCGATTTAGTTATTGTTATCGGTAATAGGATAAGAAAATAAAACAATTGCCATTGCATCATAATAATAACTTTAGAAATATAAAAACTAATTTATTATTATGATAGTAGTGTTTTGTAGATCAATTGCAAAAATTGTGAAACTAGAAAAAGAAAGTAAAGATTTCAGTATATGTTTTCATATATATATATATATATTCAAATAATATCAGACAAAATTAAATGCACTACTGCTAGTTTTTGATTTTATCATTAACATAAAACAAGGAAATGACAAGTAAATGTATCAATATTGTTGTATATTTATTCGAATAGAAAAAACATGATTTTCACCGAACTAAACTGTAAAATCAGATAGGAAGTGCGTAGTTCCTGTAGGAAACACATCTGTATTATGTTTTGTTGTAGAAAAAAACAGAATCAATATTTAAAACACTTTTATCATATTTTTTTAGCTCACAATATCATAGATATGTATGGGCGTTCTAGAACATTCTATATCGTCTTACTGAACAATAAGATTATCAATAGTTTAGGATTATTTTAATAGTTAAGAACTCATTAATTCTTTTCAATTTTATATTTCGAGTATTTGAAAATACGGATATTAGATCAACAAGACAGTCACATCCTTATTTTATTCTGATTCAATGAATTAAATCCCCAAAATAAAACATGTTTTATGGCGATAGGGAAGTCTTGATCAGTCATATTTTGTTTGAATCTTACTGATAAAATGTATCAATATGATTTTGTGATTCTTTCTCGAATAAATGATATATTATCAGACCAATCAACATATTGTGAGTATTTTATTCATCGAATATCTACATCCTCAAAACATTTGATAAATCTTTCGCTATCTATCGTGTGTAAAAATAGTGAAACATATATCTTTTTTTTTGTTTTTGGTTAAAGAATTCTAATGAACTGAGAGCATCGATTCCGATGGACAAAACGATAATAGTTCATAAATAGAATCCATCTCTGACTATTACAGTTAAAATTAAAGGTACGTAATAAAAAAAATGATAACATATGTCTTTTTTCTAACTGTGCGCAATAAATAAAAAGAAAATTAAGATAAGAAAGAATAACAGAATTTGAACGATACTCATGAAAAGCAAAAAAAAGAATTATCTATCTATATATACATATATAAATGTATGACGCATATCGATAATATTAGAAAAAAGAAAATGACAAAACAAACGTATAAATGTACGCATATAATGTATCTTATTGAAATGCTCTCTGACAATCATGTTTAGGATTCATTGGGAAATTTCAGACTTTGATGTTATAGATGAAAATCATTAGTATGCTGTAGAATGTTCAAGACAATTTCATAGCAATACATAAAATGAATCTATCTTAGAAAACTGTTAGTTTTTAGTTTAAAATAATACAATACATCTTGATACTGTGAGAGAAGAAAAGCCCTTAACACTCCCACCCTGTTGATCTTAATAGTGATGGTCCCTAAATACTACTGAATTATATAATCCATTAAAAAGGTAGTTACTAGTGAAGAAGATATTAGCGATAATGTAAACACTTCAAGACTGTATTAATCATAACTTCACTAGCATTCTCATTGTAAATTATGATGCACTTGATCAATACTTTTTCGTCTAGCATCAAATTAAGCTTTAATTTATATAATTCAGGAAATAGGTTAATGAACGCAAAATTTTCTATTAGTGCAAAAATAAAGAAAATGTCCTATACATCAAATACACATTTATCACGCACGAATGAGATTTAGAAATATGCTTCAGTATACAATATAAAAAAGTACCGACTTCAGAACATTTTAACAACTCATTATTATATTTAGTATGTCAAAAAGCAAGTTTTTTTAAATTATAATCACTCTTTTTCTGAAAGAATATCTAAAAATCTTATTGAAAACTCATGTAGTAATTCTTTGGTATATTAATTAAATATTTCTTTTATTACAGTTTAAAACAACACAAAAAAAGCATTTAAAAACGAAGTCGTATTACGTGACAACATGTACAATATAATATTACTTAAAATCTAAGGTCTTTTAGCCGCCGGTGTCTGATGATTCAAATTTTGCGGGATAATAGTGTTTTGTCGAAATCTAAAGACTATTTTTTTGAAATCTGATAGAAAATATAATGAAACTATGGGAAGAATCATTTCCAATATAGCCGGAAGAAACAAGAAGTATTTCGACTGTAAACTAAGTGATACCGGTGATGATGTATACATGTAAATAATATTATTGATTGCTTTAGGATACCAAGTAATCATAAACAAGATAGCAATCGATATAAGATATGTAGTTAATTTCCATTTTCGTTGCCAATCTCCTCGTTGATTTCGTTTTTGCCATAATACTCGTACAATCAAAGCCACATTTGCTATTGTAATTATGGCAAGTGGTATTATTGTATTCATCACAAAATCATATAATGTAATAGTAGGTTGACTGTGTGCAAAACATGGTAAAAGACAAAATACCTAAATAATAATGATAAAATCTTTCTATATATAAGTGTTTAGGAAAAATTCCATAGAACTTACAATATTATAATTCCAATAGTTTTCACATGAGTTCAAAAAAATCACAATAAAATAAAAAATGTAAGGATAAAGAATTGTAATTACCATGGGAAGTGTATGAAAAACGAATCGTCGTCTTTGTGTTGACATAAGTGTATTATGAAAGACAAGTAAATGTCGATCGATCGAACCCCAAGCTGTAACCCATATAAAAGCAGTTATAAATGAATAGACCCACCAATTCCACCATAAACAAAAACTTGGTGTTGCAGGAATAACTTTTCTGTAACGATTATAGATCATGCCAAATGGAAAATTAATGATCATATCCATGAAACAGAGAATAACTAATACAAGAGTTAAATGTTGATGATTCGAAGTTTTCTTTCGTTGTCGATAAAAATAAATAAAAATACAAATTGAGCATGGAATAGATATACTCAATAAGATAACCATAATCGAGAATTTAACATCTAAGATTCGTGACAATTCATTATCCTCCGCCATCGCTGTACCCGCAGGAAAGTAACAACTTTTACTGTTTTTTTCAAGGCTATATATATATATATATAAATGACATAGTTAGAGAAGAAAAGAGTGTTCATTAGACAGTTAAAACATTTCCTTTTATCTTCAAACAATATAGTTTCAAATCTTAGGTATGAATTATAAAAAAAGATGACATTTATCATCTGCTGAAATGCTCATTTTCAAACTATTTTCTTATAGAAAAGTATTTTTATTTGTGAAAACAACTTTGTAGTCCAGAATGTTTTTATAAAATTAGACGAATGAACGAAAATATTACTTTCTAGACGATATTTTCGTAAATCTATATTAATGAAGTTCTGATATTTTGCATCACTGATAATTATCGTCAAAAATGTTTAAGTACTTTATTTTATTAGAAAAATATGTCAATAACTCAGTGAAGTTCGACACTACATCTGGTTTAACTGATCTTTATAAAATAAATACTATCGTATAATTTATCTTTCTAATAATAATATGATGGAAATAAATACAAATGAAATGCATAAATAACTTGAATTAGAACGAATATGTAAATCAAAACTTGTTCACTATAATAAAATATAGACCATATGTTTTGTTTTCTTTATTATGTATTGTTAATATTTATAAAAAGATTCAATCATTATTTGATACGCAAATTGTAATTACGATTCTTATCTAATATAAGTCACATATTATTTTAGCTTTTGTTTGGTGGCACTTATAGATTAACGAGAATGAAAAGGTTACTCTTTTTTTCTAAAGAATGAGTGTGAAATTGAAAATATTTTACATATTATTTAGTTACTTGATGATAAGATAAATTGAAATAAATATTGACCTAGAATACCAAGTCTTATCTTACATGTATAAAAAAAGTCACTTGTTTTTCATTCCATAGATTAGAAAAAGGCGAACAATATTGATGGGTGGTGATATAACAGCAGAATTAAATTTTTTTGATCATACAACTGATGATTCTCCTCCATGGATTGACTTAAGTTATAGCTTATCTTCACCATTAGCAAATTTTATATTAACACCAACTCGTATTACTATACATGATATACGAGATCAGGAGAAGAATTTCAATCTTGATATTCATGGATTTGAAGTACACGAATATAATGGTAATATCAAAGAAGAATTTCCAGATAATAGCGAAATACAACAATTTTATTATGAAGAACTTACTATATTACTTAAAAAACGTCTCGGAGCATCTCGAGTCATTGTTTTCAATCATGTATTTCGACATCGAGGTCCTTTACGTTCACTCGATAAATGTGATATAAATCATAAAAATCCAGCGTTTAATGTACATGTTGATTTTGATGAATCTGGTGCTCATTTGAGTGTAAAAGAAATTCTTGGTGAAGAACAGATGAACAAATGTATGCAATATCGATATCAATTCATTAATATTTGGCGACCAATAGGACCAAATGTTATTACAAAATATCCGTTAACTATTTGTGATTATCGTTCATTAAATCTTGATAAAGATATTCATTCCGCAGAAAATCGAAGATCGAGTTTTTCAGCTACTTCATCCTATTTAATCTCATATAATCCAGAAAATACTCAAAAATGGTATTATTTAAGTGAAATGAAATCAAATGAAATGTTTATTTTCAAAACTTTCGATTCCAATCTTAATGTTGCTCGATTTTGTGCTCATACAGGATTTACTAATGATTATGTACCCACACCCGTACTTCAACAAGCGAGTATTGAAACACGATGTCTTGTTTTATATGATCAATAAAAATTGTTTTTTTTTCATCACTCATTATTAAATAATAACAAACTTTATCAAAGAATAAAACATCCAATGAATTTTTTCTCTTTCTAGTCAAAGATGATATAATTAAAGACGTTAAGAAATGTATGTTCTTTTACATTCCTAAAGTACGAAAGGTTATATGTAGTGTCTCGTTGTTTATCTTGCGTTCTCAAACGTACTTTTTCTTCGTCAACGTGTAAAGAACGAGAAAAAAAG